AGGGGTCAAACACTTATTTCCACCCACTGTATATCAAAAAATTGTTTTACATAAAAAGTATTCTTTTCATCGTCTTTTTCTGCGGCCTCTTTAGATTTACATTTTATTTGGGTGCACCCTTGTCCAAGTTGGCACTGCCACTATTGGAGTGAAGTAATGCTTTTTTTTTGTGCCGTCCGATTGGCTGCCCTGGAACGGCCTATGGTGGTCCCATACAATGGCCAGATCTGGGGTGGAAGGGGTTTAGAGCAAACTCCGGTCTGGGAGTGGACCCCGCCAGTGTACACACACACACACACACGCACACACACACACACACACATACATTATAGCCTCAGATTCCTTGTTGCCGTCGCTGATGAAGGAGCCCATTCATGTCCTCTGACAAATTACAAGTGAAGCATGAGACTAAAGAGACCCCCCCCAGCCCTCTGTCTCCGTCTCCTCCTCGCTCCATTATAGACTGTGTGAGACTTGGGTGTGAGAGAATATCACACAGGAGGCCGAGGCTATGAAAGGAGCATTATGTTTAGCTGCTCTGGACACCGACAAAACACTGGCAGTCCGGTCACAGTAATGGGTTTGTCAGCGCTGAACCTCAAAGTTTTGGGTTCATTTTCACAAAAATGGCTTCATTTGTACTTATGTTTCAAAATGTTGGATTATAGGACTTTGAAAGATGCTTGGAAATAAGTTCATTTTACAGATGGAGGCCTGCTCTATTCAGAATAAAGGTTATTTCCAGGTCAGAAAACAGGATTTAAACACAAATAAAGGCACTATTTCACACTCAATAAAGAGCAAATTAAGAAAAACATTTATCTTACAGGAAATGTTTACATGCCAGGGTCTGTATTAGCAGCACACGATGCAGCTTCAGTGCAAAGAGAGCACGGAAATGTATTTGAAGTTAATAAAAAAATACAATAAACCAATGCAAAACGACTCGGAATAACTCCACAACTCATAAACGGCAACACGGCATATTTGCAAACGGCCGTGCGGAGAATGCAGACTCAGCAAGAAGCAGCGCTAATCGCTTTTAAGTCCAGACTAAAACGGTTTCATACTAAAGGATTACAGGGGGTCTGGAAGGAGGACACCGGCAACGTGGCAGAACGCTGAAGTCGGCAATAAATCTACAAATGTCATCACCAGAGAGGGGCTCGAGACACTTTTCAAAGTCAATACTGATGCTATAACACGATGGCAAACACAGACGATGCGTTTTCTTTAGGGACACAATAAAAACAGCAGATATTTACCATATTTTGGCATGCAGATCGTTTGAGTAGCTTTCTCATTTGCCACAGCTGGCTCATTGCTACCTGTCTTGTTTTGTCATTGGTCAGACTTGAGATTTTAAATGTTAAAAGAATAATTTACACGGGAAAACAAAGGCCGACATCGGATGTTAAAACCCCAAAGTTGCACCTTCTGTTGTCTGTTTCATGACCTCATCACTCACGATTTCTCGGTCAAACACTCGACGGGAGGGTCGCCCCATGAAAGGGGTTTAAGAGGTCAAGATGGGGAAGGGGGGGGTGCGGGCACATAATTAGGAAAAACATATTTTCAGAGGAGTCGGGCTAAAAATGGAGGAAATCTCACCCCGAAAGCTCCAGAAAATGTGCTCCTCAGTCCAAAGTATTTACAGGAGATAATGAAAAGACTACTATCAAAACCTGAAGTTGCATTTATACTCAGACCAATACAAACTGATCAGATTAGGGACTCATTTGTGAACCACAGGTGCACGTATGAATAGAAAAAAAATGTAAGTTTTGTCAAATCTGTAATCGTCTGGAAGAAAACAAGGAATCTGCCTTTATCGAAGGACCTGGGAAGGCCCTAATTAGCTAACGGAAAATGGTACTTAGATCCCATGTGCAACAAATCGGCTCTGAAAGAATTAACTTTATTAAGTGAGGATGAATATCTTCTTAGTGGATGGTCTTTAGCTCTTTAAAGTGATTCACATTGGCTAACATCAAACCGAATAAACGCAGGAAAGAACCATACGACATCTATAAGGTTTAAAAACGAATAAAGAGCGGGCTGCTGGCTGTTCAATCTAAAGGAGGGGACTGGTTTTAAAAAACTTGAGGATGATGAGGTGGATTAGGTGAGCTGGAAAGCTGAGGGGTAACGGCTATCTGAACCATACACACACACACACACACACGCACACACACACACACACACAGATTCCAGCCCCCCAGGAGAGAGCTGCTGGACGGCTATACTGTCCTGACAGTAATCCGCAGATTAACTGGTCGTTGGGCCTCCACCAGCCAACTGGAAGAAAAGCAGAAATCTATGCAAACCTGAACATGTGGTTCGGTCAGTCAGTCGGACGATCATTTAAGAGGACAGACCGTCCAACAGCGGCCGTCCAGCTCATAAAACGCTCTCAGAAAGCCTCTCCCTCGCCCTGAGAAGAGGCTTAATTTTGGTGGTTCTCGCTTTTTTGTTTTTCCCTGAAGAAGTTTGAGCAGATTAACCAATAAACCGCAAAGCCTGAAAATGCAAATCAATAGTTTTACTTTTTTCTGGTCAGACGTTCCTTCCAGAAAATGAAAAATTAAGGAATATTTTAATCGATTATCTGAAAAAATTGCAATATTAATATGGAGTGCTTTAAACAGTCTAACAAAAACTGTAGTTGTGACATTTATTTCTAATCGATGTGAAATTCATGGACTTAAATGGAAAAAGTCTCCGATCTGAATAATGAAAATTGGTGTCATTTTATCCAGAACGCAACTTCTAAATACTGATTCCATGATATCAAATATTTCCAGACACATACAATAGTCTTGTAGTACCATAATACACAAAAAAAATTCATTTTTTCATTACAGAATATAAAATGTGCTCTAAAGGTTCAATGGAACCACAAACAATCCAGAACTTAAATGGATGTGAATGTCCAGTTTAAAACCTTTAAGATGTAAAGCAGCAGTCTGATATTTGCTTCATCCATTTGGTGAAAAAGCTGTCCAATAGTTTCTAATAATAGTGACCGAGGAGATGAATCCAGATGATTGGGAGCCAAGCACCCGTTTCCGTGGCAACGGCGTCCTCTCCATCGCCACTCTCGCCACCGGCTCCGTCTCCACGGTGACGTTCTGCCAGGAATCGGGTGGAAGGAGGCCAGGGCCGGCCGGGGGGGAAATAAAAGGGAAGGGGGCACACGAGGGGGGGGAGAGTTTAACTCCAGCCACTAACCCAACGCCGAAAACGGACACTTTAGTCCAAATGGAATCGGACAAATTGAGCTAAACCAACACAAAACTGAACAAAAACTTGTCAGAAATTCACCCATCATTCAGGGAGGGGGGCGAATGGACGAAAGTGTAGAGGGGGGGACAGGAGGAGAGGAGTAAATGTTTAAGATGGTGGCTGAGAGAGGAGAGAACTTTCTAGAAAGTTTAGACAGGAGAAGAAAGAAGAGGGGGCCTGCGGGGGGGGGGGGGGGCGGTCATACGAGGTCGCTCACTGTGGCTGCCACCCCCCCCTGCAGACTCAAACAGCCCCCCCCCCCCCACACACACACACAGACACACACACACATTTGACTTCTGCTCCCACGTCCAATCCTTCTCAAGTTTGACATTTTTCCGAGGAACACAAAGACACAATTTGCCCCAAACATCTGAGAAGAGACGTCTTATGAATAAAGATCTTTATTTCGTACAAAAATATACAGAATTATTCACACCATACTCTCTTTGATGTGGAACATGATCAGAGAGACAAGATTTTTCGCGGCTTCGGCAGCTCGTCGCCACGAAAATGACAATCCTCTGTAACAATTGACTCGCCCTTTTTTTTTTATATGCACGACAAAAAAACTTGGGCTCACGTCCCTTATAACCGAGCTTTGGTGAATTAAGCCCAAAAAAGACAAAGAAAAGAAAAGAAAAAGTCCCTTTTTGTCATGTTCCCAGTTACCTCGGGTCAAATATGCATTCGTTGGCCTAAAATGTGGCCTAAAACAGGAAGCCGATCCTACAGAACATTTAGAATTATCTCAGTGTATTTATTCTTTTTCTGGAATGAACCAACTGATGGATGGATGAGCAGGTTTGGGTGGAGGTTTTTATGGTCCACTGAGCAGCACCCATCCACCAAACCCCGCACAAAACCCGAAGAGCCAAAACACCCGACTGAACTCTACTCTCAGACATCCATTCCCTCACATGAATTATTCACCAGCACTCAGAATATTACTTTGATTTCCACTCTGACAGCACAATTAAGTCTGATCATCAGAAAGGGCTTCGGAGAGACGCTCGCTGCGGAAATTCTGCCTCAGGTCTTCAAACCCGTTACCGGGACCAGAGGACCAGCACCCACAACCTCAAACAGTTTTATGTGCAGACACCATTTGCTCTGACAAAATGGCAGAATTAAAAAGAAAATGGGCAGAAGATGAAAGAGGGCTGCATGAACTAAACTAACATGTTATGGACTGAGGAGCTGCAATTCATTCTGTAGAAAAGATCTCCAACGAGAGCATGCATTTTGAAACCGAGGTGATAAAGTGATTGAAATGTTCCCTTTAAGATGGCGTCTTATGATCCATTTGTACATATTTTTGGTTTTGGAGCTGCAACAGGCAAACAGAAAATCTGACAAATACTGGTTACAGCGTCCTCCCTTCATTTTGAACAAAAATAAAGACATTCAAATACAATTTGGTAGTGTGGCACCTTCCCGTGGAGGTTTGCAGGCTGTTTTTACACCATTTTTTTTGGTTTCTTCAATTCAATGCTTTGCAATCTGTCTCTTTTTTTAGCATACCTTTAACAATCTAAATGAATAAAAACAGCATAATGACTTCAGGGAAAAAATTATGACCCTAAAAAGACTAGAGTAGTTGAGAAGTTGGAGATTTTTTCTTTTTTTTTTTTTTTAGAAAATAATGGGAAATTCTAATCTCCGTATAACCAGCGTGCATGAAGTAGTACTTTTTTTTTGTATTTTATGACATTTAAGCCATTTATGGTCCTAAATGTAACTGTCTATGAAAATACAAAAATCTGATATTGAGTATGAATCACAAACTGAATCCAACAAGTCCCAGAGGTATGATTAAGATTTTGATCAGAAAAATGTCAAAATGGCTGAATATTTGGGGGCAGCAGAGGTGGAACGTGGCATTTCCCTTCACGCGATTCCTGCAGAATTCCAAAATCTCCTAAAACAACATTCTTTCTCCATTTGCTAGGCATTTGGAGTAGGACAGCTGGTCCGCACAGAGCACAGCACACACCTGGTTGAGCTTACAGCTTCCCTCACAGACGATGCTGCTGTTATAGCCGACCATGAACTGGTTGAAGTACTTGTCGAAAGCCTTGGTCTGGGGGGGCCAGAAGCTCTGGCCCAGCTGAAGCAGGCTTTGTGGCCGGAGGTCAGCCAGTCCAAACGCCTCAGTCATGATGTATTCCAGCCTCCAGTCGGACCTTTGTCTCTCGTTGGCTTCCGTCAGATTCAAATAGTACTGCCAGATATCCTTCAGACGGAGAATGGTAGCAGAGAGGGAGAAGGGAGAGAAAAGTCTTTTGAGACGTTCTGAAAGCCCAAAACAGTTTTTGTGTGCTGATTGACACCGCGATTAATCATCGCCGGGGACTTTTTGATTCTGTCCTGGAGCTCGGAGATAAAAGCTGGAGTCCAGGGCCCTCTCGGTTCCACCTAAATTCGCCATAACGCTCGCCAGCTTCTGCACCTTTTCACCTTTCTGATGTATCTATTCAGGGTGTGATAATTCTCTCTGTGGCTGATCCAAAACGAAGGCAGATAGAGCCGTTTCTGTTGAGGAGGGTCTCTTAAGACCACATTCCTCCATATTGGGTCCAGACTAGAACTTCAAAAACCTCTCGTCCTGACAAAACCTCTAATGGAAAAGCTCCAGCTTATCTAAAACGTCTTTGTTCCCACCGACACTCAGACCTGCTCACAGTGCCCAGAGTTTGGATTTCAAACGCTGGCAAACCCTCGGCTTTAGAAACATATTCTTAACATATTTGTCTTGTTTTGATGTGCTTTGATGTGTGTACCATGGACATTTTGTGTTCTCACCAGCAGACTGAAGTCCCCGCTGTTGTACAGGTACATGCGGAAACCTGGATTGTTGGAATAAGGCTCCAAAAGGTTTTTGATCGGGGTGATGGCCGGGGACACAAAAAGGGAATTCACCGGTTTACCTGCAAAAAAACACAGCGAGGCACAATGGTTAGGGTTCATCTCTGTAGATTTAAAAAGATGAAAAGGTATTCTAAAACAAAGGGGAGAAGGAGAAAAGTCAGATTCTAACTTCTTTTCAACTGAGATATTTGTGTCAATAAGATAATGGAAACACATTTGCAAGGGGTTGGATTTACATGATTTTACCCCCAAATCAGTAAATTCCCACCATGTGGACACAAATCAAAATCCTGTGTGCAAACAATACATCCACACCATGTCATTTTATCCTAAAATTTCTAAAAATCTGGAGATAAAAAAAACAAATTTCAGAGTAACTCCACTAATGTGATGTCTTTTGGGACTAAACTTAGGCCTAAAGCAGGAAGAGCGAGGTATCTGTGGCCGATAGAGAACAACAAATGTTGCTTTTGAGTCATTTCTGAAATTCTAAATCTGGTCCCCCCTCCTGCCACTGCCCTCCGTCCAGCTCTCACCTTGTTGGTCCAGCAGCACCATGATGCTGTCCCTGTGGGTGTGGCCATAGAAATGTCCGGACACCACGTGGCTGTATTTCCGGAAGATGGCGACGAGCCTCTCGTTGTGGATCTGCCTTATGGCCGTGGTGTTTCTGACAAAGGGCAGGTATCCCACTGGAACGTGGGCTATGACGTACACCTGGAGGTACAGGCATGCGTCCATCAGCCCAAATAAGTCTACAAAACCGAAGCCACTCGGACAAACAGAGTTTTTCTATACCTGTTCCTGGTTCCCAGCAGCCTTGTCCAGCGTCCTCTCCAGCCACTCGAACTGACCGGCCGGGTCCGTCATGTTGTGGGTGACTTTATCGGGTCCATAATAGAGAATGGTGTTGAGGCTAACCAGCCGTAAACCAGGCTTCACCAGCTGGGTGTAGAAACCCCCTAAACCAACAAAGCAAAGGCAAAAAAACCTAAGGAAACCTGATCGGCCCGAGAAAAACATGGTCATAAGATGAGATGGGAAGCTGGTTAATGTATGTAGAACAACAAATATAGTAATATAAAGCATAAATACAACAGCTTTTGATGATTCCTCACATGTTGTATTTCAATTAAGTATTAACTGATTGATTCCTCACATATGAAAGCAGATGTTAGTCACACTGGTCACATTACATGCTCTAGTTTTTTATAAGTAATCTTATATCTTGATAAAAATCTCTCAGGGTATATATCGGCCAAAGGACAGCAGCTTTCTCACTTCCTCATGTCTTCATGCCTAAACTTCAGTTTATACGAGCCCGCAATCGTCCACAAAATGTGAGATCCAATTCATTTCAATGCGAAAGAAGTGACAGTGAGGAAAGAGGAAATACAGAACTTGGACGAGGTTGCAAGCAAAAAAACATGAGTGTGTTTTTTTTAAGACAATGGAAGGAACTAATAAAAGGAACTTATAAAAAAAGTGCCTTGTGAGAGTGTGAGAAGAGCCTCAGTCTGCAGCCACGGTTTCCAGAACTCAGCAGCAGCTTTGTAGATGGCATTAGTGGAGGTTGGCATCTGGTCCTAATACAATGATGAAAACACCATCATTAGCATCAATTATCCCTGGCTGTTTGTCACTTTTTAGGTTTAAGGACAAAATGCTTTAGCGATAATAGAAAATAGACTAAAAATGAGAACATGTAACATATATTAGTGTATCAATCAATCAATCACTTTATTTTGGGAAATTGTCCACATTAAACACAAGAAACAACAAAAGAAAAAAGAAAAAGAACAATAGACAAACCCACAGTTTACCAAAAAAGGAATAGGCCGAAGCAAAGCTTATTCTTGCCTACCCTATTTTTTTTAACCTTACAACCTACCAGGATTTCTTCAAATTCAGATTCAAGTACATAGTAGATATATAGATCTACATAACGGCGTAAGATTTTATCATTTTACATTTTAAAGCTCTTTTAAAGTTCACCAAGAACTATATTAGTGTAGATAAGGTTTGTTATCCGTTAAGTTGTGAGGGCAGACCTGTGGCCAGTAGTCGTGATTCCCCAGTGCCGGGTAGACGGTCAGGTTGGGAAAGTGCTGCCTGATGGTCTGGGTCATATTACTGATCACCTGGATGACCATGGCTGTGGACAGCTCACCCGGGGGGACGTCAGGTGGACTGTCACTGCAAAACAATCAACGGAAACATCAAGATTTTCTTAACTTTTGCTTAATGCCCGAGTGAGTTCGAAGTAAAATATTAATTTATCATGACTGGCATTTGCTTTTTTCCAAGGTCCATTAGGTGCTAAACTCAAAACCACAGGGGACATCATAAAAGTGCCATATTAGGTCTTTATATTTAGCCAAAGCCACATAGGAAGTGATACTTATGCTCGGTTTCATGCATGAAAACACACTTCTCAAAGGAAACTCAATTGACTATTAAAAAACCCATTACTGCTTTACATCTTTAACTATTTTACGACCACTTTGAGCGATTTTTTAAGATAACACAACAATCAACACGCACAAGACATGAGCAGAGGACTGTGGATATCTTCCAGTTCTGGAAAATTGATCTGATGTCAATTCTGAATCGTCAAAAAAGAAGAAGAGTCGCTCTTCCTCTGTGTACCGACCCGGTCCAGATGATGAAGTCCTGTGGCTGTGTGAGCGGCGCCATGCTGGAGAAGGCTGACTCTATCAGGGTGTAAGGGGAGTCGCACAGGAAGTCCCCGAATAACCCGGCATGGGCAGCTGGGACCCCTTTGGATGAAAAGCACACCTTTGTCGGGTCCGGGGTAAGGTTGTAGGTGGGGTCCAGGTGGAGGTCAGTGATGTGCCAGAACCTGCCTGAAAAGATGACAGGCAGCTAAATGAAGATCTACGGTCAGAAGGAAAGTGACAACCAAACTGTAAAATTGTTTAAAAGCAAACTTTGAAACTTTACATCTTTTTTTCTTTCTATTTTCACTTACTTTGTTTGGGGTTGGCTGAATTTTTTTTTATCTCTGAGAACAGATATTTAAATTATTTTCTACACTTTTTAAGGACCTTGAAGGTCTCTTTGAGGAAGTCTCAATAATAAATATCATATATATTTGTGGTAGATCATCTCACAGTAGTCCTACTTACTAATGACAGATGTAAAGGTGGCTTTTTATGAGTTTTTTTTTTCAATTCTTGCCCAGTAAACAATTAATCAACCCAAAAAATAGGAGATCAGTACAGACCTCGTTGAAAAAACGACCAATTACCACGTTTTACTTTTATAAAAACGATGTAAAACGTTGTACAGTAAAATTAATGACTCAGTTTACATCAGTGCTGTCTTCATATAAATTCGGCGTACTTGACGTGATTCAAAACGAGCGAAATTGTTAAAAACAAATGTATTTTGGTCTCAAGCACATACACTTTCATGTTGTCCATCTTGCATAGTAAATCGGATCGATCAAACCTAACACACGTGCAACGTAATTGAACCTCTTGCTTTGGCCTTTATGATGATCGGACGCGTGAACAAGCGAGGTTTCGTGCACCTCAGTGGGGAATCGTCCTTTCTTCGCTCACCTGTTCCCGGCAGGTAGCTTTGTCCGGTCGGTGCCGCCGTGCCTGGACCGGTTTGGCCCCACAGGAGCAGCGCGAGACACCAAAAGGGCTCCATGCCGAGTTATAAAAAAAGACAACGACTCACAGGTCCCGAACCCCAACTAATTCAGCTGTTTACTGCGAGTCTTTCGACCTCAACGTAAACAGGAAGTACGGCGAGCCGCAAGTCACGTGACCCCGGTGTCACGCTGAGGAGGAGGAGTTTATGAAGCCTGCCGTGTGATTGGAGGATCGATAGATAGATCGATAGATCGATAGATAGATAGATAGATAGATAGATAGATAGATAGATAGATAGAT